TTAGGGTTAGGGTTTAGGGTTTAGGGTTTAGGGTTTAAGGTTTAGGGTTTAGGGTTTAGGGTTTAGGGTTTAGGGTTTAGGGTTTAGGGTTTAGGGTTTAGGGTTTAGGGTTTAGGGTTTAGGGTTTAGGGTTTAGGGTTAGGGTTTAGCTGCTCTAGCAAGCTAGGGATTGTAGAGGATGCCTTGGATTTAGAGATTTCTAGAAGGCGGCGGCCGAGTGATGCGGTTCGAAGCCCAGCCCAAGACCCTAAACATTTTTTGGCCCTAAACCCTAAACCCTAAACCCTAAACCCTAAACCCTAAACCCTAAACCCTAAACCCTAACCCCCAACCCCTAAACCCCACACGCCAAACCCCTTCTGGGGACTGGACACCAGCTCTGTGCACAAAAGCCGGGCGTCGGCGCCGCAGGCGACCAAAAGCTCAAGCACCTTGGCCGAGTTTAGGCTTGGTTTAGTTAGGGTTTAGGGTGGTGTAGGGGGTTTTGGGCTGGGTTTAGGGTTAGGGGTTAGGGTTTAGGGTTTAGGGTTCAGGGTTCAGGGTTTAGGGTGGCATAGGGTTGGTTTTGGGCTGGTTTAGGGTTGGTTAGGGTTGGTTTGGGGGGTTTGGGCGGTTTGGGATTGGGGGGTGGGGGTACTTTAGGGCTTCGGGTTGGGGCGCGGGAGGGATGGCGCCAGTGATTGAGTTCATGTGTGCCGAGTATCTGCGGAGGTGTACGTTTTTGAGAACCACAGTATACACCTAACCCAAACCCTAAACCCTAAATCCTAAACCCTAAACCCTAACATCCTACCGGGGGCACTCGTGCTCTGGAAGACGTGAATGCTTGAATCCTTGCAAAGTGGTCGGCGGAGCCCCACCCCCCGCTTGCCTAAGGCTGGTGCTTTCACCGAGCCCAAATTATTACCCTAATATAGGGGCCTGAATGATCAAAAGAGGGTTTTGGGGGGGTACGAGAGCAGATTAAAAAAGGAAAGGGTACCTTGATAGGCTGTCTGGGGTTTAGGAATAGGTTTCAGGGAATGCGGGGAACCCTATGAACACCTCCGGGCACACATCAGCGCGACAGCCTAAACCTCAACCCTACACCCTAAGCCCTAAGCCCTAAACCCTAAACCCTAAACCCTAAGCCCTAAACCCTAAACCCTAAACCCGAACCCTAAGCCCTAAACCCTAAACCCTAAGCCCTAAACCCTAAACCAAACCTAAGCCTCAATACCCTAACACCCTACAAACTCTGAGCCCTAACACCCAGACCCACTCTCGGACTTAACAGCCCCGAACCCTAGCAAACCCCCCAAAAACCACAGAAATCACCCAAAACCTGGGGTTTAGGGTTTAGGGTTTCGGGTTTGGGGTTTAGGGTTTAGGGTCTAGGGAAACCTGGTGCCTCCTTCTCCATAAGGAGCTTCTGGTCCCGCCGGTTGTACCTGGGTCGCAACATGTGGGCCTTTTAGGGTTTCGATCTGAGGTTGGGGGTAGGGTTTAGGGTTTAGGGTTTAGGGTTTAGGGTTTAGGGTTTAGGGTTTAGGGTTTAGGGTTTAGGGTTTAGGGTTTAGGGTTTAGGGTTTAAGGATTTAGGGTGTAGGGTTTAGGGTTTAGGGTGTAGAGTGTAGGGTGTAGGGTGTAGGTGAGTGGGTGGCGTTCGAGCTTCAGGGCACAGAATTTAGGACGTACAGCGTTTCGGTTTAGGGTTTAGGGTTTAGGGTTTGGGGTTTAGGGGTTAGGGTTTAGGGTTTAGGGTTTCGGGCTCCTGAGTTTCAGAATTGGGCCTCCAGGGCTGATTGCCCTGGGAATCAGGCGACGCCCAAAAACCAAAACCCTGCCTAAACGCCCCAAACCCTAAATTCTCAAACCCCTATAGACTACAAACAAAAACCGAGACCCTACTAAATCACGACACCGCAAACCCTACAGACCCTAAAAAGACCCTAAGCCTAAACAACCCTGAAAACCCTAAACCCTGTAGACCCTCTGCCCTCGGCTTCGTTGCTCATGAGCCGAGGGGCTTCCTGAAAAGGAAGTCGAGGCCAACGAGGTCCGCGCCTAAAAGGCGCGTTGTTGGTGTCTCAGGGCAATTTGCGTATAAGGGGTGGCTCCCCAAGCGTCTGTTGCTGGGCTATGTTCTCAGGGCTAGGAGGTTACAGGGCTTCGGGCCTCTAGGTGCAAAAACCCTAAACCCTAAACCCTAAACCCTAGAATAGGTTTCATTGTATAGGGTCTGTAGGGCTTCGCAGAGGCCCTGCCACAGGGAACCTGAGGCTCCTTCCGTCCTCACAGCCTCGAGGCTCAGCACGGGGTTTGGTTTGGGGTTTAGGGGTTTAGGGTTTAGGGGTTTAGGGTTTGGGGATTTAGGGATTTAGGGGTTTAGGGGTTTAGGGTTTGGGGTTTGGGGTTTGGGGTTTGGGGTTTGGGGCTCTTGGGCAACGTTAGGATGCTTAGGTACAGAGGCGAATAGTAGGTTCTCCAGATGTTTGCTGGTGCTGGTGCTGGTCGGCGATGAGACCGAGACAGGCGAGTGGCATACCTACCTAAACTCTAAGGGTAGTTACATGGTCCCCTAGTATGGGCCCTTACAAGGGTACCCCTTATATACTCTATACAAATTAAGGGCCCATACATCAGAACCCTTTAAAGGAGGTTAGGGACCATATTCAGGGACCATGAAACTACCCTTAGATAAACAGCCTCTTTTCAACGACTTTGTCAATTACGCGTGGAAGCCCAAACGCCACGAGCTCACCCAACCCGAAACCCTAAACCCTAAACCGTATAAACTCTGGACCGGAAATCCGAAAGCGCTAGAGAAGCACCACTATGCACCCCGAAACTGTTCCATCTAACCAGCTCAACCCTATAGCCTGAACCCTAAACCCTTTATCTGCACCCTAAATGCCCTTGAAGCCCTAAACCCAAGAGTGTTGACCCTGCACTGATGAACCCTAAACCCTAAACCCTAAACCCTAAACCCTAAACCCTAAACCCTAAACCCTAAACCCTAAACCCTCAGCCCTGCCCTGCACAGCCAGCCCTGGATTCCGGGTACTTGGCGGAACTCCTCGACCTGCTCCTGCGTGAGGCGGTGCTCCTCGGGATGAAGATTCGCGGCTTCTTAGTCTTTAGGGTTTAGGGTTTAGGGTTCAGGGTTCAGGGTTCAGGGTTTAATGGTCCGTTCGTATGTGGGCTTAATTGGGGAACCCTTCTTGATCAACAAACTTCGGAAGCCTTCCAGGAAGGTAAGGGGATTTTGAAGGGACCATGTAACTACCCTTGCAGGCATCGGGATGCTCCAGAGGGTTTAGGAGCCCCCCGACGGCTTCTCAACACTATCAGTGCCCCCACAAAGCAGTTTAGGGTACTTAGGGTTGACAGTGTAGGGTTTAGGATGGTCTAGGATGTCAACATTTTGAAGCTTTCGGGTTTGGGTCGTGCAGGCCTTCAGTGTTTCGATGCTTTCACCCTTTTCACCCCTAATGCCTCTCAACCTCTCAACCCCCTGGACCCTACAACGCGATAGCACTCCCCCGTCGGATCCTCGCAGAGGGCCCGAACGAGGCGTCTGCGCCGGAGTGTGAGGAGCTTCTGGCGAAAACAAGGGGCTGCAGTTTCTGGGTTGAGGGTTTAGGGTTCAGGGGGCTTAGAGCTCTTTCATGTTGTCTTCAGGGTTTGGGGTGTGTAGGGTTCAGGCTCAGCTCTCTGTTAAATTATCTTGCCTGGGGGAGGCTTTTGGGGCTCTAAGGCACGTATGGGTTTGGGGAATTATACGGTTTAGGTTGAGTCTCTTTGTATTGTACCCAGACTACGTTGACTACAACTAGGGTTCAGGGTGGAGGGGTGCGACATCAGGGGTTCATGGAATTTGAGTTTACCCTAAACCCTAAACCCTAAACCCTAAGAACTGGCGATTGCATCCCTGCCTGAGCCTCGAAGAAGCTCGCTTCAAACTTCTCGTAGTCGGCGGCAGTGCTGGGGGGCCTCGATTTGGGTGGAGTTGCTGAGGATTTGGGGTTTGGGGTTTGGGGTTTAGGGTTTAGGGTTTAGGGTGTTGGGGATGGGGGCCTCTTCCTTGGAAATATCTGTAAGGGACGGGGAAACGAAAGCAGCAACCTCAGCTATACCAGTCGCCCTGGTACCTCTCCCATCATGCACCTTCCATATCCCCGGGCTCCCTTCAGCAGCTCCTCAAACCTGCAATCCGCAACCCCAAGACCCTTCAAAACCCTATGAACCCTGTGAACCCTGAACCCTAAGGCCTACGCCCTAAGCCCTAACTAAGCTCCTAAACCCTAAACCCTAAACCCTAAACCCTAAACCCTAAACCCTAAACCCTACCTGGAACGCCGTAGTGCCACTTAATGAAGCTACACTTTCGAAAGGGTATCATAATCCTGTCACAATTGCCTGGTTCACCCTTAAAATCCTATACTATGGCCAGAGCCCAGGAATAATTGCCACAGTGGCAAAGTTCATCTTTATCTGGTTTGGCCCCTAGCCCCAAAGCCTAATTTGATCGAAAACCTCTGCGTCCGCTCCACCAGGCCAGGAGCTGTGCTGGATCGAAAGCCAGTTATTACAAGCACATCGACTTTGCAAAGGCTCTGGGTGTAGGGTAGGTACTTGGGTGCAGGATGGATAGGATAAGGAGGGCACGACTACGCTTTTGTATGCGACGCCGGCAATGGCTGGCGGATTCTTGATCTTTGAGGACCGATATTCAAGGAAATTTCAAGGAATTTAATAGAGTAGTTGGGGAAAGTGTTTCTGAAAATCCCTTTACATTCACCCGCGCCCTCACATTCGCAGGACCTGGTCTACCTGCGATGCCTGCGCTTCGCTATTGGAGGTGACTCCTGCTCGCTTACCGTGAATCGACTCAAAGTTTGGACTTCTATACTTGAGGCATGCAGCTTTTAGGGTCTTTTGCACGGACCATGACAGGGTGATCGGTGCATCTCTGTAGCATTTCTGACTTCAAAGGGTCTGGTGGCTCACTTGCGCTAATGGCAAAGTCGCTGTACGAGTTGTGGGAAAAGAAGAAGGTGATCAGGAGGCGGCTGAAAAACACCAAAAGCTTTGTTCGCTTTCCGAAGAAACAGGATGATGATGAGAAAGAAGATGGCGTGAAGGAGAACCCCACATCGACTGCAGCAATGGAGATGAACCTACCAGCTTTGACGGCGATGTTTTCCTTTTACAAGGTCAAAAGTGGCAAGCAGGTTCCTATCGGGAAGCTGGAGGGTGAAGCAGCTTCGCCGATTTAGAGTCATTAAGGACATGTTTCCTCCAGCTTAGGACTGATTACAGCGCCCATTCTCGTGACCGCATTGAGGTGACGCAGCTGTACGAAGAGTCCGGCTGTATTCCCCACCTCGGTGCCAGGCAATATTACCTCGATGCCTGGGACCTCCGCCGGCTGTACAGCTTCGCGTTGAGGCGTCAGAAAGACGCAGAGCAGCGCGAGCAAACACCCCGCGTCTCTTGAAGATATAATAGTGGCCTGCTTCCCCTGTGTGATGTTTCCGTGTGTTCGCTTAAGTTGGGTAGCGGTTTCCTTTGCCCAGGCGGCCGGAGTTCGACGGCTGTTTCAGCTGATCAAGGAATTGCGAAGCACGAACGGTGATGACAACGATGACGAAGGGGAAGAAGAATCAGATCTCGAGCATGAGAAGGACGCATGTGTTTCAGAGAATGGGGAGCACATGCAGGAAGAGTCGGAGGAGGAGGAGGAGAAGGAGCAGGAGTCTCCTGCGGTGGCTTCCGAATCGGCCGCGCCTGCCAAGAAGGTTGATATTGGCGCTGGCGTGGGCTTGTCTGATGAGGAGGGGGAGCCCGAGAAGGATTCGCAGCTTCCACACCCGTTGCAGCGCTGCAGGTCCAAGACCTCTCTCGCAAGCTTGCCCAGCTCGGCAGTTCTTGGCGGTGCTTCCAAGGAGGCTTTGGAGACGCCTGCTTCCTACGCAGGCCCTGGGATCCTGACGACGAACAAGGAGGACGAATTGGCCGACTTGATGAATCAAATCTCGCTCTATGAGGATGGGGAGCAGAAGGATGCCGCAACGGCTCACCACGATGCCATGTTACTCCTGATGGGATCCCCAGAGCGACGGGCAAAGGAACCTACAGGCCTGAGTGAGTTTTCTTCAAACATTCTGGCACACGCTGAAAAAAGTTGAGAACATCTACGTAGAATTCTTCAGCAGCCATCCCTAGCTTCATCACAACAGGCGCAGGCGATGAACCGCCACCTACGTGCAAGAGGCAGCTCTTCGGAGATGCGGATCCTGCTTGGAAGCATCCTCCAGATCAGGCCTCCCGGGTTCATATAAGCAATATAGTGTCTGTAGAGCTGGTTGGCCCGAAGCCCTATAAAACCCTTATGTCGACCCCAATTAAACCCTGTAATCCTAAACCCTATAGGGGCCGTATAGATCCTATCCCAAAACCAATTTGAGGTTTTGACTCAGACCCTTCAGGCGGACACTTTGGTGATGGGCCCCCCGACCGACGAGACTGACTCGCTGATGGGCGAAGCCGACAAGCCGACCAGTGTTGTTGATGTGTTCTCGAGTCCTGAGAAGATGTGTAAGGAGGAGTGCTGGACTGTAGACCCCTTGGCAGCGTGTACTAAATTTTTTTAGGGGCTGAGTGGTGCAACGCAGGAGCCCGGGTCTCCCAAGGGGGATGGTGACGCCCCGCTGGTTTCTGTGTCTGCCCAGAACGACCTACGCCGGTCCCTCCGCGCTTCCATTCGTCGCACACGCCGCTCCAGAAGCACGCGCGAGCTCCTGCAGAAGGCCAACAAAAAGGGCAAAAACAAGGGCAAGTCCAGGAAGGCGTGTGAGAAGGATGAGGGCACGGACAAGCCTACGTGCAGCAACTCCAAGACAGCCGGTTCCAAGAAGCGCAAGCACTTGCCGAAGGAGACGGAGGAGCCGAAGCCTTTGCCAAAGGCAAAGGCGAAGGCAAAGGCGACACCGAAGACAAAGGCTAGGGCGAAGGCGAAGAGCAAGGCAGCAAGTGTGGAGACGAAGCTGCAGCCTGATCGCAATCGCACTGGCTACAGTGAGTGTGGCAAGCTTGTGCTGGGATGTTCCAGCTGCCGCTGGGGCGTGCTTGGCTGTGGCACCTGCCTTCGACCGTCCTTCAAGGGCAAGAGGTGGAACCGTGTCGCTTGCGAGGGGTCAGATTGATGTGTGGGGTCGTGGTAGTGCTACAAAAACAGTCTTCGTGCAATAGTGAGCACTGTGTAGAACATGTCTAGGAATTCTTGACCTGCAGCTTTCATCTGATTCCTCAACACTTTTGCTGTTTCTATGCTTGCGCAATACCAGTAGCTACACAGCCCATCGATCGTCTTTGCGAGCATCGAAAGTGATGCCTGCGGTGTGTGTCCTGGGCACGGGTAGGGAACGGTACTGACATGAGTGCGCCTCACACCTTTTAAGAGAAGGGTGGCTAGACGATTTGTGGCAGCCTTCGCTCCCTTAGATCCCGTGCCCCTAGCTAGTTTTGGCCGGGGGCCTCAACATGCAGCGGGGATCTGCGTGAGTGGCACTTTCTGTTGCAGCGGTCTCAAAAGTCTCAGCTTGTCACTGCGCGCCTCTTCAAGCGTGCCCCTGCTTTCAGCAAGAAACATATCGATCCCGCGCCTACTTAACTGATCTCTTGGCAGGTTCCTTTGTGCTGGATGAGTACTTCCTGGAGATTGCGGCATCGGTTCACAGCACCAGCTAGTGGCAGCGCAGGCTGGCCCCAGCTCACTGTTGCCTGTTGCGGAACAACTTGGGTGAGCCTTTACTAATGTCTGCGTGCGCAGTCATATTCACAGCAGGGTCCAAACGCACTCAAGCAGGCATCGTGCTCGAACTCTTCTGTTTATAGCTGTGGGCAACAATTGTGCCATGACACCGCATGAACTGCACAGCCTCCTGCAGCGGCTGTTGGAGCTGAACTCCCCAGGTGTGCCTAGGCAGAGGAATGATCCTTGCCCTCCTTTAGGTTTCTCCGCCTGGGGTGTTGTTAGCTGTAAATGAGGTCCTGCTATGTGCAATTGTACTTCTGGCGTTCAACGAGGACTTGGCCTTGGCCAAGGCAGGTTTGGTTCGCAAAATCTAAACCTCATAAACCCTATACACACCCTTTACACCCTTCTAACCCCTATAAACCCTATAAACCCTTCCAAGCCCTATAGACCCTCTCAAACCCTAAAAACCCTAAAACCGCCAATCCGGCTCTCTACCAGGAATACGATGCAGTGGAAGTGTTTGCCGGGGCGGCTGCCCTGTCGAGATGTTTGGGTTTGGCCGGGCACTGTGTAGCCTCCTTGGAGATTGATTCCTGGGCTGCGTTTGCTAAAGCACGGCCAGTGTCTCAATCTGTGCGGAATCCCTTGGATATTCTTACGCCTGCAGGGATGGCGCTTCTGGGTTTCACTGTGTAGCCATGCTGTTGGTTTTTGGACAGGGTTGGTTTTAAAGTGGTTAAGGGTTTAGGGTTATGGGGTTTAGGGTTTAGGGTTTATAGGGTTCAGGGTTTAGGGTTTAGGGTTTATAGGGTTTAGGGTTTAGGGTTTAGGGTTTATGTTAGGGTTTAGGGTTTAGGGTTTAGGGTTTAGGGTTTAGGGTAGGGTTTATAAGGTTTAGGGTTTACATTAGGGTTTAGGGTTTAGGGTATATATAGGGTTTTTAGGGTTTATAGGGTCTAGGGTTATAGGGTTATAGGGTTATAGGGTTTAGGGTGTTACTCGAGGCATACAAACGTGCAGTTGCAACCAAGGGGCTTTCCACCCTCTACGTTGAAACTCCCCCAAACAACCGATGCTTGGGTACACTTCGAGTCAATGACCGAACCAGCCAAGGCTATTGCTTCTTACTATCCTAAAATGCAAAGATGGAGATTTTGTGGTGCACTTTGGTATGGTATGCTCTACCTGGATCACAGTCTCAAGGCACTCAACAAAGCGATCTTACTTCACCCCCCTTGGCGACCGCTCACGCGCAAGGGTGGAGGACTCCAATGTTCTCTGCAGCAGGACGGGTGTGTAGTCACAGGATCAAGCGCAGGTCTTCTGAGTCTTGCGCTCTTCAAGGTTCAAGAGTGTTCGCTAAGGATGTGCTTGGCGATCAGACTAATTTTGGCTAAATCGGGAACCTATGTGCTAGAGCAGCCGGTCAGTTCAATTATTTGGCGGCATCCCAGAATGCAGCAGTTGCTCCAAGTCACACGGGCCACTCGGACATCAAGACCCCTAAAACCCGACCTATCTTGCCTGCCACTCCCCTGCCACTCCCTGGGCTGCTGTTCAGGGTGGGTTGAGGAAGCTTGTCTTGGTTTACCTAAACTCAGACACCTGGCCACCTTCCCCATTCGGCAAGGCATTCCGTGTCGGCTTCTGGATGTGCCGTTTCGGCGCGAAAAGTGCCAAAAGGACCAGACTTTGGTCCAATTCCAAGGGGATTGCGGCTTTCTATGATCCCAGGCCATTGACAGCAAAGGAGAGAAATGGGTTGAGCACACTGGTTACAAGAGCAGTGGATCCCAGAACTGGCAAGAAGAGCTTCAGTGGCAAGGCGAGGGACCTCCAAGACTCAGGGTGCCAAGGATGAATTTTTGTGTAGACCACAACGTCAGCTGACTCGAAAAGAACCCGACACAAGTAATGGAACTAAGGCGGTATAAAATCCCATTCGGCCTACGATATGTGAGGGCAATGCCGCGACTGCTTTCTGAACGAGCTCCACCAACCTTTCAGGCCACCCTACGCTACATCAATTGTCCTTAATTTTCAAGCCCATCCCCGAAGCCAGAACCGCTACCGCAGCCCTACAGGCCACCAGCGCGATCACGGACCCCAAGCTTGCGTTATGTGACAAGGCGCTGTACGAAGATCTCTGGCAGGATGCCCGAATGCCAGAAGTGGTGGCGTATCTCCGGGGTGCCACGGGCCTCCGTTTGCCAGAAGAGGTGAGGCAGCTTTTCCCCACAAGTTTGCCTCCTCCGTAGCTTTGTATGGGTTGGGGGGGCAAATACAGGCTTTAGAAGGGTTCATAGGGTTGACAAGGCTTTACAGGTTTAATCTTTCCAAGGGTTATAGGGTTTGGGGTTTGTGAGGGTTCATAGTAAAATGCGAGATTAGGGTTTAGGGTTTAGGGTTTAGGGTTTATAAATAGGGTTTAGGGTTTATAGGGTTTAGGGTTTAGGGTTTAGGGTTTAGGGTTTAGGGTTTAGGGTTTAGGGTTTAGGGTTTAGGGTTTAGGGTTTAGGTTTAGGGTTTAACCCTTAACCCTTAACCCTAAACCCTAAACCCTAAACCCTAAACCCTTATAAACCCTAAACCCTAAACCCTAAACCCTAAACCCTATAAACCCTAAACCCTTAAACCCTATTACAAACCCTAAACCCTAAACCCTAAACCCTTAACCCTTATAAACCCTAAACCCTAAACCTTATAAACCCTAAACCCTAAACCCTAAACATGGGAACCCGATTCTGCGCTGCAGCGTACCGAAGTTTGCGCGGGACAACACCGTGACTCCCCCTCCCCCTGCCCCCCTCCCCTGCCTCAAGGTTTATAAGGGTTATAGGGCTTATGAGGGTTTATAGGGATGTAGGGCTTCGAGGGCTTCTTAAAGCTTACCTGGACGTGACAACCGGACCGAAAAAATAATGCGTCAATGTTATAGCCTCTGTTGACGTATATTGTAGGTTCGGTTGACACGTCCCGGATAGGGTATCATGGGGTTTAGAAGGGTGTATAAGGGTGCTTCGGGTTGATATAGGGTAAGGGTTTGTAGGGTTTATGAGGGTGCAAAGTTTATAGGGCTTATAAGGATTTAGGGCTTATGGTATATAAGGGTATAGGATTTATTGTAGGGCTTGTAAGGTTTAGGGAGAAAGCTCTTCCGTTGTCACCTCAAGCCGAGTACCTGGATGGGCGGCAAACTAGAGCATCGCTTGCTGTTTTCTGAAGACAGCTGTTGCTTTCCATGGCCCTAGCACAAAGCCACCTTGGTGATGACTTGCATACAGGGATTAGAGGGTTCCTCTCGTAGGATTTCATAAGCCTTTCCCTCCGTCACGGTTTTTTTGCGCGGCTGCGTGCTTGTGAGCTACTTTTGCACCAATCCTAAAAAGGATACACAGTGACGTAAAAAACGTACGGTGGCGTACGTGGGCAGCAAAGTGGCGTACAAAAGCGTACGATCCGTACCCATATTTATGCCACTTTCACCATGCTGTTTCTGCACCAATTTGGACGAGTTTAGTCGCAGTCTTGTGTTTTGGTGCTATTTTTTCACGGTTCGAAGCGGCACCCTGGGCTTCTATCCCGACCCCCTTCTTATATGACGTCTGCCGAAGCACCTGTGCAGCTGCCTTCCAAGCAGTGGTCGTGCCAAAGCCTCCTGCGGGGGCAGTCGTACATGGCGGCCCAAAAATTTACGATCGATCCATCTCTCAGCATGGATGCCAAGTTGGAGGTTCCCTGGATGTCTAGATAGACCATGTGGGGTGCTTCTCTGTGCTGCCCGCTCTAGCTATCCTCAGCTATCCCGTCGTGGTTAAGGCTGCGAGACGGCACTTAGAACTTCTTCGGGCTGCTCGACCAAAGGCCCCAGACACCCCGCCTCCGACGCCGACCCCAACCGAAGCCGAAACTACGACCACGAGCTCCCCGATTTCCTCGAAGCCAGATGAGATTAAGAAAGAGCCTCCAAGCCCACGGCTCGCAGAACAAGCCCTTCAACAGGATCCTTACCAGGACAGACCAGTTCTCACTCAAATGCTCATCAATATAGGTCCATATAGGTCCTGGAGCACGAAGTGTTGTGCGTCTCATTGACCTTGCCTGGGTCGCAGGAATGCCAGGAAATTGCATCCACGGACGTGGACGATGAGGCGCTACAGCAGAAACTCAAGGCTGTGGGTACGGGCACGCCTTATGGGTAAAATTTGGGCAGCCGGTCAATCCCACACACACACAGAGGCATCATCCTACACAACGTACTTGGTCGGGCTTTCGCACACACAAACAGAGACCTATGCCAATACTTTCTCAGTCGTGCCACACAGGCGGTGGAGGAGAGTCGGAAAGCGCAGCGCAAGCCTGTCAAGAAGGAATCGGAGCAGGAGGCGTGTGAGGTTTTAACAGTTTCAGGGGCAGCTGCGGGCACTGTGGGTTGAGTTGGTGTGTGTGTGTGTGGGTGTGTAGAGTGTTGTGTTGTGTTGGGTGCGGGCGCGGGGGGGCGGGGTGCTGGCGGGGTTTGTCGGTGAGCGTCTGTGGGTGTTGCTTTGTGTCGGTGTGTGTGTGTGTGCCCTAAACCCATAACCCCTAAACCCTTAACCCTAAACAATAAACCATTAACCCTTATAAACCCTAAACCCTATAAACCCTATAAACCCTATAAACCCTATAACCCTATAAACCCTATAAACCCTAAACCCTAAACCCTAAACCCTATAAGCCCTATAAGCCCTATAAACCCTATAAACCCTATAAACCCTATAAACCCTATAAACCCTATAAACCCTATAAAACCTATAAACCCTATAAACCCTATAAACCCTATAAACCCGATAAACCCTATAAACCCTAAACCCTATACCTAAACTATAAACCCTAAACCCTAAACCATAAACCTTATAAACCCTAAACCCTGAACCCTAAAGCTGATAAACCCTAAACCCTCTAAACCTATAAACCCTACAACCCTAAACCCTAAACCTTATAAACCTTATAAACCCTAAACCCTAAACCCTAAACCCTATAACCCTATAAACCCTAAACACACACACACACACACAAGCACGCACGCTCGCACGCTCGCAGCACGCACGCGCAGCACACACGCTCGCAGCACGCACGCTCGCAGCACGCACGCTCGCAGCACGCATGCTCGCAGCACGCACGCTCGCAGCACGCACGCTCGCAGCACGCACGCTCGCAGCAAGCACACCACACAAGACAAGGCCCAACACAACACAACATCGCGCGCTGTGTGTTGGTGTGTTGGTGTGTGTGTGTGTTGTCTATTGTGCGTTGTATGTTGTATGTTGTGTGTTGTTGTGTAGCGTCGTGCCGTGTTGTCGTGTGTTGTGCGTCGTGTGTCGCGTGTGGTGTGTGGTGTGTCGTGTGTATAGTGTGTATAGTGTAGCGGTGTTGTGCCTTGTTGTGTGTTGTGTAGTGTTGTGTTGTGTTGTGTCGTGTTGCCTTGTCTTGCGTTGTGTTGCGTTGTGTTGAAACCCTAACCCTATTATAAGCCCTTATAAACCCTATAGATATCTTCAGACCCTAAACCCTGGTTGTGACTGGCCGTATTTTGAAAGTCAGGCATGCACAAAGGAATGGCGGCGAGCCGAAGCAGTGGTTCGTCGCATGATTAAGCCGAAGACAAGATCGAAATCGGTGATGGCTTCTCCCGACATTGTCGAGAGATGGAATGCAGGGGGTGATTTGAAGAATTTCCTGATCCGAACCTTGATGAAGTGTGAGGGAAACAAGGACCGTTGTGCTCTACAGGTCCTATATAGCGTGTCATTATGGAAGCCATTCACATTAATGTACGTACATATTTGTTTTTATGCATGTGTAGGACGTGTGGAAGCGCACCGTGGAGATTCAAATCCAGAAGAGCAAGTCCAATGAGATCACGGTTATCTGTGGCTGGTATAGTAAAGAAAAGATGAAGTCTGTTCTGAAGTTCTCAGCGCGGGGGCCTTGTGTTTCCTATGCTGGGGGAATCTATGTCTGTGTGTTTTTTCGTGTCTGCGTGACTAGCGCGATCGGCCTAGGAGAAGAATCCAGAAGGTGGTCAAGTTCTGCACCAACCCCAAGCGCATCAAAACCCACACGAGGCCTTCCTAGCATCAGTGGGTCGCAACCCATGCATATTGTATCTATCCCTTTCACGCCTGTCACCACATGTATATTTGACAGGAAGGACAAGTACGAGAAGGACAAGATCGAATATTGGGTTGAAGAGGAGACCAAAGGTACGTACAAGGTTGCCGAGTCAGAGCTTTACACAGACAAGCGCGAGATCGATGCTACCGAAGATTGCGCTGATGAAAACAACCCGTCGGAGAGCGACTCCGACGATGACAACGAGTGCGAGTCCGATGATGATGAGTCCTCGGAGGACAGCGAGAATTCTGACAAGAAAGGGAAGAAAAGGAATGCAAAGAAGAGCAAGAAAGCGAAAAAGGATAAGAAGCAGAAGACCAAGCGCAGAGCCAGGGGGTCCCCGTCCTCAAAGAGCAAAGATGACCTCGAAGAGGAAACCCCCGCCGAGGCCATACGCAGTGAGCCCACCTTCCCTAAACTATATATAGCACCTCGCCAATCCTTCCTGGCCTTGCCAGGCCATCGAGAGCGCTGGCGAGGTGATGAACCAGCTCCTGCGTGCGCAGGCAAAGGTGGAAGCCTGTATCGAGAAAGTAGAGAAGCTTTCGGGGAAGAAGGCCCAGACGACCTTTAGCTGCATCAACTTGTACAAGCGTCGCCCGCCAAAGGTTCGCTTGCGTGTTCGGGGTTGTTCAGTTTCATAGGCAGCGGTGTCTAAGGTGCCTGACCGGGCTCCACACCTACGCCGCCACCCTCACGACCTGTCACGATGAGATGGCTGAAATCAAAGCATCCTACGCCAGCTCGAAGAAATCTCTTGGCCAGAAGCCGCTGGACTCGATCGATTGTGTTACACAGTCCTTCGCTCCCTCTCAACCTTATATGCGCCAAAAACCCTGTAGGCCCTGCGATAGTCCTTGACCCATGTTCCTCCCTCTTCGAGGTCCATGGAGAAGCTGCGGGAACTCTTGGTCAAAGCCGAGAAGACGCCAAATCCTTAAAGTCGTTTGGGGTTTATAGGGTTTCTGGGTTTTCGGGTTTAGGGTTGCTCGAGAGTTTATAGGGTTTATAGGGTATATATGGTTTATAAGGTTTATAGGTTGTAGGGCCCGCAACTAGGTGCGCGAGATTCAGTATGGAAGAGACCAAGCTGAAGAGGACCCTTTCAACCCTAAAAACCCTATAAGCTTAAAACCCTATAGATGCTATAGACCTTTATAAACTCTATGTACCCTATAAACCCTATAAGCCCTTTTCGGGACTCTTTGCCCAGTCCGACAGGACCCTTCTGAAGAAGTCCCTGTCTCAGCAAGCTTTGGACAACAATGGTGATGACCCCTCCGCTGAGCCGGCACCCAGACCTGCCCCGAAGCGTAAGAGGGCGAAAACTGAAGCCCAAGGCTAAGGCTAAGCGTGGAAGGAAGGCGTAGTTCCCCACAAAATAGAACCTTACCGAATGTTTGCAGCTGTGCCCTTTATGCTATATATGGCCCAATGTAAACCCTGCCTTCCGTCCTCCTCGTCAGCGCTGCACAGTCAGCGCCAGCAAGCCAGCCTGGGGTTTCGTGACTGTGTCACATTTCACGACAAATGGGGTGGAGCTGCTTCCACATGGGCCTGCTAGCGCAGCTAAGATGATATAGAGTGGACAAGGATCGGTGGGAGAAGCTCCTTTCTTGCAAGTTGCTATGACAACTTCAGATATTGGGAGTCCATGCAGCGCGACACCGTGCATCGCTGAAGACCTAAAGGAACGCAACACAAACCTGTAACTTTGCAGACCTTGACCTGAAGCAGACAAAGAGGGCCAACTCGTTCACCCAAGAAACCCCACGCAGGCAGCGCTGCGGTGAAGCGGCGCCGAGTTGGTCCTGTGGGCCATGCGATTGCAGAGACTGTGGCATCTGGTGCTTCTCGGGTCAAGTTTTTGCAAAGGGTTTGACGTTGAGTATTGTCTGTCCTTGATAACCCCTGAACCCATACCAGTTTTGTTGTCGTTTTTGCGTTTGCTACAGGTCAATTTACTTTGGGCTCAACAGATAAGGTGAGTGAGAAGCATGCTTGCAAACTCGCAGCAGCTATGCATCGGGAATTGGAGGACAGCCTGCCTATTGAATCCTCGGACTTTATTGCTCGCCTACGCAGGCTGCATGCAACTGGTCATGAACCCCGAGTCCCCAGCGTGTTTAAGGAGTTTGGCCTGCAAGCCGATGTGCCCATATCCCACGTGAATATTGGGCTGAAGCAACCGCACCCCGTGCTACGATTGCGCGATGTTCTGCAAACCTTCAGCAAGGCTGGGAAAATGGAACACATCTTTCTGGGAAATGGCCCTGCGCAGCTGAAAGAGTTTTGGTGTAAATGGAAGCAGTTGCACCCGGAGGACGACGTATTTTCCACCCACGACTCCTCCCGTTTGCCCAGCTGTGTGCCCATGATGCTCCACCTTGATGAAGGGACATCCCACAAGCGGAAAGGTATTATGGTTCTTTCGGTCCAAATTGTTTGCGGCAAGGGGTCCAAGAAGAGTACTGGCCATAACTTTCTTGGCAGCACTTATCTATCGCGGATGCTGTTCTCTGTGCTGTTGGCGAGGACATACAGCAGAAAGAAACACGTCCTGAACTCACTGCTGGCTGAGTGGCAGAAGGATCTGAGTGATTGTTACCGAAATGGTATTGAAGTTTCAGGGGTTCCTGGGGTCACGAAGATGTGGCCTGTGATCCTGGCATGCAAGGGAGACTGGCCAGCACTTACAAAAGCTGGCGGGTTGCTGCGACACCACTTGAGGGACGCCCCAAACTCTGACAACCCTCCCGGCATATGCCACCTTTGCCGCGCCGGGCAGCTTGGTTATGCCTGGAATGCTTTCGAGTCGGACGCCCCCTGGCTCCATGCTGACAGCCCTCTTCCGTGGAACACTCCGTCCGCACTTACCAACCTTGCTCAAAACAAAAAGGATCCAGCAAGTTTTTACGCCGTAGACTTGTTCCATGTTTGCCACAAGGGAGTTGTGGCAGACTATGTCGCTTCAGCGATTGAAACTCGACCTACAATCATAGAGTCTGTTTCTTTCGAGTCTGTTTTTTTCTCTCAAAACCCCTGTGTGTTTGTAGATAGACCGCTGTCTAAGCCAAGGTAACATTGCTGGATCACGGCTTCTTGGGCACTGGCGGCCAAGACGTTTGCTTGAGGGTCCTCTATGAAGAAGCCCGGGCTTGGTGTGCCAGTAACGGCGAGCACTTACACATGACTGGTTTGACAAGGGATCTCTTGGGTTTGGACACATCGGCTGACTTTCCTGTTGGGAGCCTTTGTTTTTTCGGCTTGTTTTGGTTGTTTTACTTCAACTCTACGGTACAAACCACGATTTCATGCAGGTTCTGAGGTGGGGCAGTAAGGAGATGGTTCAAGGGCGCAGACACGTCTCTGCTGGCAAAGTTTGTGCTAAGCATGTACGAGCGTCTTCTTGCCGATTGCAGCGAGCAGGATGAACCGCATTTGCGAACGATCTATGAAGGCCTGGTCGCAATCAACAGCTTTATGCACTCCGTCTATCATCAGCCTTTGTGGGTTGAACCTGCTGACGCAGACAGGATTGCAAATGACGGGTTGCTTTTCATGAGAGCTTTCAACAAGGCAGCCCTTCAAGCCCTGAGTATGCAGCGACCGAGATTTAAGATCATGCCTAAATTTCATTTCTTCGCACACCTCGTACATGGCATGAGGCGGGCGTCAAACGCCAAAGCCACAAGCCTAAACATCCTCACGTATTCTGTTCAGCTTGATGAGGACTTTATAGGAAGAATTTCATCCCAGTCCCGCAATGTTTCGATTCGTACGGTACACGAACGCACTATCCAACGGTATTGCCTGAACCTTGGACTCCGCTGGTAAAAAAAGAAAGCAAACCCCCCTCGGTCCTTGAGCGCTGTGGCCAGCGGCCGCCCAGGCACCCATTGAAGGGAGTTCGGCTGGGATTGTAAGGGTTCGCGTGGGTCTTAAGGGTTTTTCTCCTCTTATCTTCGAGTTTTTGGTGTGATCTTTCAGGAAGTGCATCAAGTTCAGTTTGGTCTAAGTGAGCCATCGAGGCAGGAATGGTCAACTTTCAAGTAGTGGCTCCCAAATCCCGCACAGTGACCAGTTGATCTTGATTAAGCTACCCCAGGCTTTCCAGGTAAACCCTAAACCCTAAACCCTAAACCCTATACCCTCAAGCAGCTCCCAACTACGCTGAGAGGACTTTTCCGCGAGAGTCCTGAGCCCCCTGCACCTTCGCTTTGGACGTTCCAACAGGGTGTAGGGTTTAGGGTTTAGGGTTTAGGGATAGTGCTAGATAGGGTTTAGGGTTTGGGGCTAAACCCTAAACCCTAAACCCAAACCCAAAACCCTAAACCCTAAACCCTAACCCTAGATCCTAACCCTAAACCCCACACCCCTTCAGGGCTGTCGGGTTGATGGCCTAGGGTTACTAGGCGCGGGCTCTAGGTGGGTTTCGGTTGCAAGCTCCTTCGGCTCAATACCACCTTAAAACCCTAAACCCTAAACCCTAAACCCTAAACCCCAAACCCTAAACCCTAAACCCTAAACCTGAAAACCCAGCATCCTGAAGTCCCTGAACCTCTCAAATCCCTGAAAAAGAAACCCTCCTTTACCGACTCAACCCTCGCGACTGCTTTAGGGTTTAGGGTTTAGGGTTTAGGGTTTAGGGTTTAGGGTTTAGGGCAACCAGAAACTCCCTGCGCGTCCCGAAGCCCCCAAACGATCTAGGGCAGCGGCAGCGGTACCGACACCGACTCCCGCGGGCGCGGGGGCGCCAAATCCTCCATAAAGGCTGGCATGGGGTTTAGGGTTTAGGGTTTAGGGTTTAGGGTTTAGGGTTTAGGGTTTAGGGTTTAGGGTTTAGGGTTTAGGGTTTAGGGTTTAGGGTTTAGGGTTTAGGGTTTAGGGTTTAGGGTTTAGGGTTTAGGGTTTAGGGTTTAGGGTTGTTGAGAGGGCTCAATGGATTTCGGGTATAGGCTCTATGCGGTTTCGGGTTTAGGGTTCAAGGCAAGTGGGTTTAGGGTTGCACGGCCTTGGGGGTTCAAGGCTTTAGCGTTCAAGCCCTTACCCTAAACCCCTAACCCCTAACCCCTAACCCCTAACCCCTGACCCCTAAACCCTAAACCCTAAACCCTAAACCCTAAACCCTAAACCCCACACCCCCTCCGCACTCACGTGCAGCGAGGCAAGCACAGCAATCCCTCCCCCTGCCTTGTCAGATGTGCTCCACAACCTTGACAAAACCTGGGTTTAGGATTTGATAGGGTTTAGGGTTTAGGGTTTAGGGTTTAGGGTTTAGGGTTTAGGGTTTAGGGTTTAGGGTTTAGGGCTTAGGGCTTAGGGTTTAAGGTTTAGGGTTTAGGGTTTAGGGGTTTAGGCAAAGCTCAAAAAAGGAGAGCCTTTAGGGGAGTGGGGCGTCGATGGTTTGGGGTTTGAATGGTTTAGGTCAAACTGTTTCTTGAGGGAGATGAATCAGAGCCCTTCATCTCGGATGCTCCCCTAATCCGAAGCTTTAGGGTTTGATGGGGTTACAGGGTTTAGGGTTTCGGGATGTTTCGGGCATGGGAGTTAAGGTTTAGAGTTCATATTTGGGTTTAGGCGCTCCGAAACCCCTAAACCCTTCAAGCCACTATGCTCGAACTTCTTCAGCCTCTTGTACCGAGAACTTTCAAGCCCACGCCAGTTCATAGGCTCTTACACTTGGAGGTTCATGGAAAGTTATACGTAGTGCAATACTTGGAGGTTCATGGGCAGTTATAGGATTACCCAATCATGTTTTGCAAAATACCGCACCTTAAACCCGGGTTGTAGCTACCCATGAACCTCCAAGTATGAACCTCCAAGTAGGGTTTTTACAGGGTGCATAGTTCTATCTGTCTTGGGAATAAGGTACCATGTGTATATATATATATATATGGCATATATATATATATATGGCATATATATATATATATATATGCATATTTAGTATACAGATATATCCCCCCAGTCATGAGAACCAATGATCATGGGCTACTCTGCCTTGGCATGTTGATTAGCCTCCATCCCGAACATCATGAACCCCAGATGGCCCCCTAGAAAGGGGAAACCCCAAAACCCTAAAAAGTAGGATCCCCTTATCACAAGGACCCCAATAAGGTACCCCTATTCTACCTACTATTTGCATAAGGGCCTCCAGAAAAGAAGAAATAGATATAATCCTTATTACCCTAAAGAAGAAATAGATATAATATAATCCTTAGTACTCTAATAGGGAAGAAATTCTGTAAAATTGTTGGGGGTTCCCAAGCAAACCGTAGTATTGTCGCAGTCCCCCTTGTGCACTTGTGAATACAGCCAGGACACCTTAGCGGCGGTAGGCTTCTTGCTTCTTGTGGGCCTCCTGGCTTCAGGGAGTTTGCTGAGGAGTTGCGGGTTTATTGGGTAAAGCCGGAACCCTAAGCCCTATATCCTATAACATAAACCCTAGACCCTAAACCCTAAACCCGAAACCCTCGAGCTTTGGGATCTCCAGGCATTTGGGGGGCATCAGGCCGGGTACAGGGTTTCGCTTGAGTCCGCCATGCAAGTTGTGAAACACTGAAGACCAAAAGGTTCCAACGTTCAGACCCGGCATGGCATGAGGCGGGTTTAGGATTAGGAGGACCCTTGGGGATATAGACCCTCTGAGTAACGTCCTTGTTTAAGAGACCCAGAAGAGGGTTAAGAAGGGTTCCCTGTTAAGGGCCCCCCTTATCCTACCTAGGAGGCATGGCACCGGCAGCCCAGACCATGAGTTGTCGAAGCCCGCTCGCGGGTGAATGCGAGAAAGTCGTCGCTTTGGGACTGCTGCGCTCCCATGTGCCTTTCACTGTCTGCACATAGCGGCTCTGCGCCGCTCTGTGAGGGCTTGCGCAAAGGGAGTCTATAGGTCGCTGGATGGTTGGAAACATGATAGATAGGTTGCCTAGATATGCAGATAAGCAAGGCTCACTTCGCTGCTCAAGGAACCCTAAACCCTACATTTCCATAAGCCCTAGATTGTAAAGTAAACTCCAAGCCGAGCTAGATAACTCTAAAGAACTCTAAATCTACCACCTCCCCCCCCCCCGAAAACGCGAAACAGCCCAAGCCCTCGGTATGGTCTACTAGATGGAAAAACATTTACAAAAATAAAATAAATAAATAAATAAACATCAAAATGAATATAAATCGAAGTATAAATATAAATATAATATATATATATATAATTAGAAATATCAATATCAATATAAAGACACATATAAACATAAACATAAATATAAAAAAATAAGTATACATATAAATATAAATATACATGATATATATATATACATATATATATATATATACATATATACATATTTATGTCTTTATTTATCTATTTCTGTATTTGCTTTTATTTATTTCTTTTTGCCCAGGGCGCCGGACGGCTCCCCCTTGTGCGAGGCGAAGAGCTTCTCAACCTGCCATGGCTGGAAACAGCTAGGGATTTAAGGGTGTTCAGGGTTTAGGGGTGTTCAGGGTTTAGGGTTTAGGGTTTAGGGTTTAGGGTTTAGGGTTTAGGGTTTAGGGCTAGGGTTTAGGGTTTCGGGTTTAGGGTTTCGGGTTTAGGGTTGAGTAGGGTTTAAGGATGAGGGCTTAGGGTTTGGAGATTTTGGGGGGTTCCGCCAATAGAGGTGCCCTCTTTCCGGTGCCCACTAATGCCCATGCTGGGTGTTAGGGAATTGGGAATTGGCCCCCCAAAATCCTAACCCCAACACCTACCCTAAACCCATTGAGTCGAGGTGTTGACAATGGCACCTGCATCGGGGAAGTTGATGGCCCCTTTCGGCCAGGGTTTCTTTGTTCATGGTTGGGATAGAAATAAAAATTTAAATCTTTCATTCCTTATTGACTTTTAAGTACCCTTGAAAAAGTAAAATGTTACCCCCCACTATGACAAAGGTTTAGGGTGCCCTATTTCCTGTTGTCCTTCGGAGCCCTATAGGGCACCCCCAAAAGGGGACCATCAATAAGACCTAGCGTCCCGACACCCCCCCCCCCCCCCCCCTAAACCCCAAACGCCAAAAACTAAACCCTAAACCCTAAACCCAGACGCCCTCCAATGCCCTGTAGGTAAGGAATATTCTGGTAGCTACAATGGGGATCTTTGGTCTGATGTCGGGAAGATTTCCTGCACTAAAAGGGTATGGGAGTCCACGGAACCCTAAACCCTAAACCCTAACCCTAAACCCTAAACCCTAAACCCTAAACCCTAAACCCTAAACCCACCAAGACCCAGCGGTCTCGAGACGCACGAAGTGTCGGAGGGTGTCGAGCGGTTCAGGAAGCCTCAGGTCTTACAGGGTTTGGGGTAGCGCGATGAGGGATGCCTCTGGCACGCGCATACACAGACACACAAAGGGATGCCTAGGGATGTTTGGGGCTGCTGGGGGTTTCAGGGCTTCAAAAAAGCCTAAACCCTAAACCCTAAACCCTAAACCCTAAACCCTAAACCCTAAACCCTAAACCCTAAACCCTAAACCCTAAACCCTAAACCCTAAACCCTAAACCCTAAACCCTAAACCCTAAACCCTAAACCCAAACCCTAAACCCTAAACCTTTGGTGGGTGGGGAGTTGAAGGTTTGGCTCCTTGCCTCCGACCACTCCTCCGCGCTGTAGATCCAGATGCCAAGGGCCTGCACAAGAGATCAACAGAGGCAAACTTGGGCCCTAATAGCACTCCTAAACCCTAAACCCTAAACCCTAAACCCTAAACCCTGAACCCTGAACCCTGAACCCTAAACCCTAAACCCTACCAAGTTTAGGGTTTTTGGGTTGAGGGCCTTAGGGTTTCAGGCCAGGTTCGGCACAC